TTAAACGTTTTTAACTAATAAATCAAAAAATTTAAAATTTATACTAAACAAGTAATAGTTTTTGAAGGACTTTTCTTAATAGTTAATGGTGTTCTTGTGACTAAAATCTGTAAAATCTGTCGGTCAAGTTTAGGACTCACAGTTTTATTTATACAAGAAATAACAATGTTTATGTTTAACTTTGTTGAAATTAATTTTTTTTTCCATTATAAAATTAATAATTTTTATAAGACTATAATTACCATTTCATAAACCATACCAAATAACGTCAAACTATGAAAAAATATTTAAATTGCTGAGAAAATATAATTTTTAATAAAGTGGCATCGATTTTTGTTCCTGTCCCTCTGAGAAAAGAGAATACAGAAATGTTGTTAATAACTAGAGACCGAAATTATATGCACTAAAAATGCGATAAATATAATCAAAATATAGGTGAACGGGTCAAAATATGTTCCAATATTCATCGTAAATTTTTATTATTAAAAAAATTTAGATAATTAATAATTATTCATTGAGTGAAGAAAATGAAAATTTTAAATATTAAATACAAAAAACAATTTATATTTATTTCAGACTTAGAGTGGAGCGAGGAATGTATTGGTTTTACAATGATGTTTATTTTTTTTATGTGAACACTTTTTCTACCAGAAAGGATACTCCGTTTATCAAGTATAGCATCTTTTCTGAAATGGAATATTCTCTGGATGGTACTATAGAGAGTTAATTTTTTGAAATTCTTATTGATATTCTAGATAACAAGGAAAACCTGGTACTTTAGACTAACAAAGATTAAAAGATTAAGAGTAAGGTTTTCATTGGTAGCTGTTTTTATTTATTTTTTGTTATTATTAAGTTTTTATTATTTTAATATTTTTTTAAACAATCATAGCTGTTATGGAAACACGTATTTTGTTGTAATCATTTTATCGTAATATGACATATATCATATATTGTATTGTTGACAAAGCAACATTATCAGCTGAACTCGACTCAGAATCGTTTTTTCGTTAACAATGTTTTATCTTTGCTTACAGATATACATTAAATTCCCGTCCGTAGCTTACCTTCCCAACTTTCCACATACAACAGTGGCTGCATCCACTTGCGAAGTATATCCGTCCTATCAGATTCTGAGTGGAATGATTTTTGGTTTAGTTTAATAAATTAAGTTTACGGAGGTCGGGGTTATAGACGTGCAGTAAGTACTTAATTTTAAGTTAAAAAGCACATTTATAAAAAAATTTGCGCTTTACTCGTTTTTATCTTTAGGTAAATGCTATATAGAGGTCTTAGAACATAGAGCCATATTCAATAATTGGTCAACCGAGGGCACAATAGAGGACTTTAAAAGAAACACGTAAGTGCCGAATTCGGAGGAAATACGTTTCAAGGAACCTTACCTTTTTTAAAATTGTACAACAGGTTTATTCGATATAGAGATCAGGATTTAACGAAGGACATAAAATAAAACCGAGATCTCGAATTTCACTGATAGCCCTGGGTAAATTTGAGCCTTGAATAGCATAGGCGAAGATAACAGGTATAAGACAATGTTCAACTGGAAGTCCAAATTATTAGACCCGGTGACTACATTGTCCAGATGAGGTTGTAATTTTTCACAGCAATCAATTGTATTAATACGCAAATATATTTGAAATAGTCAATAAAAATTGAAAGACGACTGCGTGATTAAGAACGCGGTTAATATTATCAATATTAATACGGAAGAGAAGAGGAAAAAGGTGAAGACTCGGAGGAACACGACAAATAAGGGTCAAAAGGAAAATATTCAAACCACGTTAATTAAGTATTGCTATAAAACAACGAATAGAGACGGACTTACGTGACGCCGTTTGGTCGACGAAAACCCTCGGAGAATTGTAAAGGCCAGAAGAGGAAATTATGTAATAACTATAATAGTTACAACGGCAATAATATTGTGTGTCGTGTAAAACAAAACGTCGTCTTCGCTAAATTTAATCAATTACACGGCGCGCGCGATGCAACATAAATTACTTTACGGTATGTTTTTGTATTGTTTGCGATAATGAATTCTTTTTTTCTGTTAAACCGAAATCGGTCGTAAACATTCCGGGCTAAGGGGTTTACTTCGAAGTTTCATTTCTATTTCATGTGTATATTACGTTTTACATTTATTTTTATTGTTGTATTAAATAAGCGTTGTTTTGGTTGTAAAAAAAAAAAAAAAACGAAACAACGGTCGAAACACAATAATAATAATAAAAAAAAAAAATATAAAGAGAAAAACGACGGGGAAAAAAACCGCAAACGTAATAATTATCGCTTACCTATACCTCAGTTGTTGTCGCTATACAACAACAATAAAAATATACAATTGCCGTGAAAAATCGTATTTCCACAATAAGTATATTATAACTAACGACCGACGGACGGACGCGTCGAACGACGTGACCCTTCAAGAATTTTTTTTTTAATGGATATATATTTAGACGTCGGGATTTATGATATACGGTTGACAGGTGGCAAAAGCAAACATTACTTTTAATGGACACCGCCGACGACGACGACGACCACGGCGACGAGGGATCAATGGTCAACCGTCGCGGCTAAAAGGCGGAATTATAATACCATATGCACATATACGGTTCGGGTGGCGCGTACGTGTGTGCGTGTCCTTAAAAAAAAAAAAAAAAAGACTTTACGGCTTTTGAATAAATAATAATAACGAAAACGTGTCCGCCGTCCCGACACACCACTAGTCGTGCGCGCGCTCCCCATATTTACACTCGTACAATTATCCGCCCATTACCGATTTCGAGCACCGATTTTCTTCGCGCCCTCTCGCCCACTCGTCTTTCCACGTACATTACCGCGGGGGGGGTTTTTTTCCCCTCTACTTATTGTCACGGTTTTTTCTATTATTATTGTTATTCGGGGGTTATACGAGAAACGCATTATCGTACACATATTATACATCGTGTGTGTACCGAATACGACGACGGCCGTTGGCGCCGCCGATTCGACAGTCCACAACGGTTTCGGACGCGCTAACGGTCGCTGCCGTGCATCGGCAATAATAATAATAATAATAATAGACACGCCGTGTGTTGATACCGCACCAGTTACGATTTTCCGGTTTCATAATACCAACGCGAAATATGGGTAAGTATGTCGAACAATAATATGCGTAATATTACGTGCGCGGTTCCGTGTAAAATTCGCTTTTCCGGACGTCCGCCGCGCTTAGAACCCGATCGGTCGGCGGTAAGTATTTTTTTTATCTCTCTCGGTTTACCGCGTTTCCGAATATTCGATTCGTATTCGACACGGTCGTATTCACAGTCTCGGTGCCACTAACGGGAGACCTGAAATCGAAATCGCGACGTTCGGGTCGAATTCGGAATGTATTACGAACGCCGCAGACCAAACAAATATAATACGTATTGACGAGAATTATAAATTTCGGGGACGGACGGAGCCGCCGTAATAAATGGGCCTGAAATATTGCCGGAGAAAAAAAAGCGACGGTGTAAGTTGTTACGCGTATTTCAAACGGCTGTTCTCGTCGTTTTCGTTTGACGATGTTTGACGAGAAACGTTAACGTACCGTCCCCGACGAGTACTATTCTCATCCCGGCGTTCGTGTTCGTAAACTTCACGGGATTTCAAATCCGCACGCCCCGCAATAATTTACGTTCTGCATACGTCACGCGGTTTCGCTGAATTGCACGGTCGTCCGTCGGCCGGACGCGGACGCAGGTGCGCCGCCGTCCTCTCGCCGTCAAGATGCACCGCGTGTCTCGCATACGGAACGCGAAATGAAATCCCGTCGGGCGTGGAAAACAATATTTACTTTAACGGCACAATAAACTGCGCGCACAATGCGTACCTGTACAATACCGTGTACGGTTCGTAAAACGAAATCTTTCGGGAACAAAGACGATAAAGCCGATTATCTGTTGCACCGGAGGCAGTATATTATTATTATTATTCCATCGCTGCATTTCGCATACGACCATAGTATAATTACGCATGTCTAAACACTCTAAACGGTTAATAATAATAACAATAAATAAAGATACGCGTTTTTTTTTTGTTTTTTTTTTTACTACTAGAATATTGAGTTCCGACGTTGTCGGTCCGCGCGGTTAAGTGCACGTTCGTGAAATTAATTAAACATCGTGTTTGTTTGCTTATGTCCGAATAGTTATTGAAGTATACGCTGATAATGGGCGTGATTTTTTTTACGAGTTAAACAAACAATATAACGTGACGTATTTAGACACGGGCACCTCTACTCGATTAAAAACCGTAATAAAACGGACGTGTCACGTGATTGTCATCGCCGCCGGTGTGGAATTTTTTAGCGGACGTTTTTTTTTTTTATCGTCATGTAATATTATACCTATACGTTATTATAGTTATACGAGTATTTATCTACAATATTTATTCGGTTTTTTTTTTTTTTTTTACGCGAATTTCTATTTTATTAACATTTTATAATTATGTAATATTTTCGTACAAAACATTGATGGTACGTAGTTATCGGAAATGTTGGAAACGTTTATGAAAATATGACAAATTCCTGATAAAGGTAAGAAACAATACTACTAGCTACACTTAGTATGCTTGTTGTCATTACCGTGTAAAGTTTGGGACTAGAAAATATCGAAACATTTATATTCAAATAAATGTACAAGTAAATATTTACGTATTACGGTCCCGTGTCCGGGGACGTCGTTTCAGTTTTTCGATACGGACGCAATCATTTGAATCCAGCCAATTTTTTTCCTCCCTCGGGCCATTATACATCTTGTTTATTTCGCGGAGTGAAAAGAAATTCTCGGTTGCTTCGATAGCTCATATTCCCACTTGACATTTTTATATTCAAATACTGCAGAGAAACGTATCTATCGTGTATTCCGCTCTGCGTTCAATCGATAAAAACATTTTATGCGGGCGAAAAACGCGTAAACGAAAAATGGGACTGCCAAATTACAGTCTGAATCCCTCGGATGACACCGTTGACCGTGTTGTTATCATTAACTGTGTGCGACCGTGAAATAAACTATCAAATCAACGGTAGCGTTATTAACATTAAGTCGTTCGTCAAAACGTGCACATAATTCGGTATATTTTATCGAAAACATTTATTTATTATTTAAATTACAGGACGTACCCTTCCCGTCCCGGTCTACTGTCGAGTGTGCGGTGACAAGTCGTTTGGAAAACACTACGGCGTTTACTGTTGCGACGGTTGTTCTTGTTTTTTCAAACGGAGCGTCAGGAGGAGGATCGTCTACACGTGTATCGGTACGTTCGGGTCCGCGCAATTAAATGCATAAAATATAAAATCAAAATATTATACACGTATATCATTATGTATACTTAGCCGGCACTGGCCAGTGTGTAGTGGACAAAGCGCGAAGAAACTGGTGTCCGTTTTGTAGACTGCAAAAATGCTTGCGGGTCAGTATGAACGTCACCGGTAAGTCGAAAAGTCGCTCGAGTATAATGTAGTAGGAAAATTCGAAAATCGTATTTTCAGTTTGTTCGTAATAATATTTTAACCCGTTATTTTAAAACGGAACAGTTTAGTAAATAAGCGCATGTAGGTATAGAAACAGTGGCGGCTATCGCGAGCCTTGTAAGCAGGTCAGGCGAACATTTTGAAAAATACAAGGAGAGGTGGTGTCAATGTGCAAGGAGAGATGAATACACACTAACGGAAATAGAAAACGAGTCGTTATCGTTGATTATTCGTTGACGACAGACTGCAGTTTAACATTTTGAAAAATGGCATTTATTATAAACTACCATGTATGATGTGTATTTAACAAAAAAGAAAATCGTATTCGAAGTAATGTTTCACTCGGCTCATCCAATTAGCCGCCACTTAAACAAAATTCGGTAGTATTTTTAAAGACGGCGATTCCAGTTGTGCATGTTTTTGGTTTATTTGAATGGCTTATATGGATCAAAACGATTGTATAATTTTCAATTATTTTACATATTAGCCGTACAGGAAGAACGAGGTCCGAGAAAGTCTAAATTGTCCAAACCCACTGAACTCTCATTGCCGAGAAACTGGAAAGTGAGAAGTAAGACAGTAATATTATTATATAATATAATAGGTCGGATTCATATATTTGCCTGAAACGTTTTTTTCTCTTATAATTATTAGAACGTCAATATTGTGCTAAGTTTAGATTGAAATTGAAATCGGAGTTGAAACACAATAATAACGGAATTTAAAGAAGACAATACGTAGCTTTTATCAAAAAAAAAAACAAATTGCATACAAAAGTGTTACGGCCATGTTAGTTTTCGTATTGTTTAAACTTAAACAGCTTTAATTTTATACATTTTGTTATTTGTGATTATAAAATCTCCGATTTTAGTCTACACTTCTCGATTTATATCCCAAGATATTTTGCTAGGCCGTCCATTAATAAAACGGGGATAACGCGCTGTGCGTTTATAAGACGGAGAAAACGCATGCATATCACGCACAATTAACGAAAATATTGTACTCACGTCCAATAAATTTATAATTTATTATATTAATATTCTTTGTAATAGTTACGAATTCGTATCACGGGAGTAAAAATTTACGTATTTCCTTTGAATTTTTCCCGCCGATTTTCCGATAGTGTACTACACAAAAATAGTCATTACTGGTTATTTTCCTGGTTCACTGCAGGTGAATATATATTCGAAATCGGCGCCCAAATATTTTTGACTTGTCTGAGGCAGTGCAGATTCAGCGACCCGATGGTCATATTACCGAAATTCGACCAAAACGAAATACTCCTTAAAACGTGGCATCAATCTTTCGTGCTGATGGCGTCGTTTTGGCCGACCAATCTCGTCGCGCTATTTTCCGGGTGAGAATAACACCGGTATAATGTTAGATTTGGTGTGTCACAAACTCACAACGTGGTTGTATTTTTTTTAAAAATTTTCCGTTTTACATTAAATCACTTACATATAGGTCCAATTCGAGGGTGGAAAACATCGTGACCGCTCTGATCGCCAGCTACCAGGCCGTCAGACTCGATCCCGTCGAATACAACCTGGTGCTCGCGCTCATCTTATGTCGACCCGGTAAGTGACACAAGATGATAAATAGGACTGTGAATTTAATGCACAAGAAAAATCTTAAAAAAAAGTATTCACAACTTAAAAATACTGCCCATGTGCAGCGGAGTTCCGTTATTAGGGCCAAATTTCTTCCCATTTATTTTTATATTATACAAATACTCATTGTACAATCATCAAATATAACCGATTACTGTAAAATTAGAATAATGTGTGTGTTATACTAATATACTACAAAATTATATTCATACAAATGTTGACATTTTAGTATTAAAATGGTTGGGGAGATGCCCTTAAAAGGCACCTTTTTTAGAAATTTTTTTTTTAAATTTAAGTTCCGCCGATTGTAAAATTAAATGGTATTTTTTTTTATAAGGTTTTTAGTACATTAAATCAACAGGCTTAGTTGTTAATATCGCCGAGACTTTGTACTATTACGTTTACACGCTGGTAATTTTGTTTAACCAAGATCTGTGCAGTCCGGAGTACAGGGACGATCTGACCGTCATCGGTGCCAACGTCAAAGACGCGCTGATAAGGCACGCGACCGCTAAGTCGCCGACCAGATACTATGGGATATTGGCCTGCATATTGTCGGTCACCGAAGACCTCGCGGGTTACATAAAAATCGTCTTCTTAGAGCCATCCGTCAGAAACGTTCCGATGAACCATCTCGTGTCGGTCGTCACTTAGATCCGGCGAATTGTTCGTATATATCCGCGGTTTGTGTACCGTCACGACCGAATCCGTTTGTTTCAAAATAACGCTCAAACTCGCATAGAAAAAATAAACACAATTTAATTTGCTTCCGGTATTTTTTTGAACATTTTTCGTTATCAATATGGTCAAGATTTTTATGTAAAAAAAAGCTGAAATATTATAATGCTAATGTTCTCCGTATAGAATACGAGTGCAAATCTGTTTGGTATACGGTTAATCCTTTAATACGATGTAATAAAGTCCATTAAAGTATATTACAAAGATTTCATCCCTAATTCTTTTTCCCTTTTTGGTGGTACCGTTTATTCTCCTGATTTACTAGCCTCTGTCACATTTCGCGTTCCTTCTCACCCAAGAAAGACAAGCACAATCAACCGCTACACAGGATGTTGCATTGCCTTAACTCTACTTAGTCTTAGATCTCATCGCCTATATGTATTAGTGTTTATTTATGCTTAAATCGTGTTTGTTATGTTACTAAATGCCACGAATGTGTTTAGTTATTAAATAAAACTATGTAAACCTTTTTTTTTTTTTTCTTAAAGGTAAACAAAAAAATGTACTAATTATTTAATAATGGCAAAGTAATAATAATTATAAAAATATAAAACGAATTTTGTCTGTAAATAAAACAAAATATAAGATAATTTGATAAATAAATAACTTGTCTTATCAGTATAATAACAATTGCGAGTTGGTTAACCTCTTTATGCTTGGTAAAAACACATTACGGTGCTAAGATATTTGGTCCATGACGGCGACTTAATAGAACTATGAGAACTATCACAGTAGTTTTTTTTTTTATTAAATTTATCAAAAAAATTTATTAGAAATAGATAAAAAAAAATTATTCAAGTACCTTGAAATTAAATTTATAATACATTTTTTTTTCTCAATATTTACAAGATATCAAGATATTTAAAAATATGATAAATTATCCCTAAACCCTGAAATATTTTGAAATCTGCAAAAAAAAAAAAAAAAGAAAGTAATAATATGTAACAACATAAAAAGACGTCCTAGAATAATGAGGTCGGGTGCAGCCACTGTTATAGGTAATTAAATGTATATATGTAAGCGACGACTAACCATTGCTAACGAAAAAACGTTTCTGAGCACAGTTCAGTTGATAGTGATGCTTAATCAACAATATATTATGTGTCATATTATGGTAAAATAATTAAATAAATATTATATATATATATTTTAATAATATTTGTTTAATATTGCACCGATTTACCCATTTATCCCATATCTTATCCCGATTTTACCCATTTTCAGGGAAAATTCTTGAGAAAATCGAAAAATGACCGCTTTAAAGTACCTCACCAGTCATATTTTCTTTTAGAAAAAACGCTATCTATGTAAAATGAGGAGCGAAATTGCTGGTAAAAAATTAATCTACAAGAAAAAAATATAGTAATATTTTACTAATGTATTTTTTATTATTTTCCCGTTTTTTCTCCGTTATTCACGATTTTTTCCATATATTGGGAAAACTCCTGGGGAAATCAAAAAAAGATCAGCTCAAGTTACCATGGAAATAAAATTATCTTACAAAATATAAGCTACACTTGATATATCGGAGCAAGATTTTTGGTAGAAAAGTTTGCACAACAATCCGAGAGGAAATTTGCGATTGAAATAGTCCGAGTGACTTTTTTTAGACTAGCAGTTAACAATAAATCTATTAATTAGGCACATTAAAAATAACGAAAATTATAAAATTCACAGAAATTCGTTTTGAGTTATACTACTAAAACGACACCCAAGTATATAAATTGAAAACGTCGAGCTAAAAGGATAGCATTCTTAACGTTCCAAAAAAAAAAAAAAACAAAAAAACTTACATATTATGTACTATCTTTCGATTTAAGAAAATGGAATGAATTTTTTTTCTTGATTTTCAACTTGCTTGAACCTTTTGTGCAATATAGCAGTTTTTCAATACGAATCAGTTAAGCGCAAGCCTAGGATCGATCGTCTATTAACTATAGTTTTTTAGATAATTAACCTTGATCTTTTAAATCATACGGATTGTAACCGTATATAAATAGATATTATATTAAATTTGCTAATACGTTTTTGCGCATTAAAATCTGTTTTATTTTATTTTACGTTAAAACAAACATTTGAACAAAATATGTACGTTAAGCTAAAGCGCATCTAATAATAATTATTGTAATATTAACATTGTAGGTAGCGTTTTGTCGTTTAAAAATATACACATTTGCGTCTTTAAGGGAACAGTAACACGCGTTAGTATCGTATTTTATAGAACGACTATTTTATTGTTGTATAGTACCAAATGGCCGGATATATTTCACACAGTGGGTAGGTCCCTGGTGTAGGCGGAAAGTCGAGAAGACATATTCTGGTTTGTGTGCCGAAAGCAACGATATATAATCGCAATCGAAGCAAAATTTTGAGCGGAGCTCGGTAAACTAACGGGGTTATTGTATCAGTTCGTTAGATTATAGTAATATTTCAATTTTTTTTTTTTTAGATTTAAAGCAAGGCGAGGAGGAATGTGTGGGTTTTACAATGATGTTAAGTTTTTTTTTTATGTGAATACTTTTTTTACCAGAAAGCATAATCCGATTATCAAGTATAGCACTTTTCCTAAAAGCAAATGTTCTTTGGGTGGTACATTAAAGAGGTGATTTTTTGAAATTCTCATCATATTCGAGATAATGAGGAAAACCTCGTTCTTTATGTTAAAAAGATCGAAAGATTAAAAATAAGGTTGTCATTGGCAACCGTTTTTAATTATTTTCTGTTCTAATTATTTAAACATTTTTTTTAAACGATCATTGTTATCATGGGAACGAACATTTTTGTAATCATTTTACCAAAATCTGATATAAAGTATATGTTGTTGGCATAGCAACACTATCAACTGAATTCCGCTCAGAACCGTTTTTTCGTTAGCAATGGTTTATCGTTGCTTACAGTTTGTCAGTTTCATTTCAAAATCTGTGTGTAATATTGTCAAAAATCGAGTAAATATTTTTAAATAAAGTACAATCTGCCGAAAAAATCTGTACCATTTACGGTAAAATACGAAAAATCGGTGAATTTCTATACTAAATGAAAAACGGCAGAAAATATTTACGAAAAAAAAAATATGGGTAAGCCACGCACTTTTTAGTAAATTTAATATTTTTGTATTTCGTTATAAACCCGAAAACACAATAATGTAATACGCTCAAACATATATAATCAAAACAAAAATACGTAAAATCGTATTAATTCATGCGGATGGACCGCGAAGACGCGGTCATCGCGTAATCGGAAAATCGCTTCGTTTTGGCAGTCAAACCGAGTAAAAATAGATGTTTTTTTAGGTCTAAAACGAGGTCGTTTTAACTTGTATATTTTGTACGTAAATACGTTGAGATCTTAATATTTACGTAAGTATAACGGCTTTGAATGTCAACCGCAAAGGCAAACGCGCAAAATATTCGATCGTTTTTTTCGCGAATCTATAATAATATAATATATACTAAATAAATGTACATAATAATATTATATTGATATCGAATTGTACCACGACTTTTCTGAGTTTTTTAATAATTCACCGTTTCCATAGATGAGTTTAAAGAATATTTCAAAAATACAGTCGGCTGCGACACTTCGTACTTAAACAAAATAAGATTTTTTTTTTTTTTTTTTAATTCGTCTACAGTCTGCACGTCTTTTATTTTGTCGTTCGGTATTTAACAACATTATTATAATTGCTAAAATACGAGAATGCTCCCGGATGCGAACAAAACAAATTTTCTCCGTTCCCGCTAATTTTAGAAGTAATTAATAACAGCACGTTTTATTCATAATTATAAACCAAACTAAAATAAAATTTTTTAATTTGTTTTTTTTTATTTTAAAAAATTCTAGAAACAATCAGCTCTATAAAATGTTACGTTACGGTTATTTTTTGTCGTTCTTATTTTCGAAGGTGAAACCACTGCCGACTTTTCATTTTAAAATAGCAACGTGTATTATAAATTTCATAAATAGATGACGTTTTTAGTTTAACTAAATTTTGATGTTAACATTTTTAATATACGTAGACCAGTTGACGAGATGTTGCATTTAGAATTTAGCCGTTTTGTGGGTAGGAGGAAGTTAGTGGAGCATCTTTTGTGATGCAGTGTTTACTAAGTGCTCCCCTGCTCTCCCCCTATCAACACAACGAAAAAATTAAAAGTGGAATATCTCGTCAACGACTTGACGGAAACTGAAAATATCGATACCAGAATTTATTTTAATTAAAACTTCATCTATTTATGGAATTTGTAATGCCTTAAATTTTCGATTTACTTATTTTCCGACTAATTTTCACGAATTTTGACTACGATATATAACTTTGGAAATTAAATATGCAATTTAAAAATCACGAAAACAGCATGTATATTTCTGTTTGAGTATGAAAATCTGAAATATAACTATATTATGAAATGGAGGACAATAAATTTTAGAGTGACATTTTATTATTTTTTATACGTACGCAAATCATGGAAATTTTACGTCACTGGTTTGTACTTGCAGCTCGGAAAACATTATTATTCGAGTGGCACTGTTCACCCTGAATTCGGAAAACGAGTACACCGCAAAGGATACCGACGTCGGATTGATATTTTTATATAAAACAAATAATTATTAAAAAAAAAAAAAAACCTTTTCGAAACCGCTATATTATATACTCGCTATTTTATATATTGTTGTGGCACGTGCGCAGTAATAATGCATACGTACAGCGTATACTGTAGTATACAAATACAATAACAAAACGGGACGACAGTATCAATAAAAACAACCCACTCGACAGCTCTTTGAAGGGTCGTCCAAAAAAAAAAAAAAAAAACGAATCTGCTGACGCGTATATAGTAATACTCTAAACAGGTGTCTCTTTATTGTGCCGCCATCGTACTGACAACGGCCCGTTATTATTATAATATAATAGTTGTTCC